AGATTTCAGATGAAAAGATGAAATAACCCACCCACTGGCTCCACGGCACGTGTTGGCCTGGGCCAGATCTCCTGGCTCCCAACTCAGAGCCTTTCCTACTCTTTCCTGAACAAAACACAGGGATAAAGGGCACTTCAAGTGGCAGCCACACTACACATCAAGGATGTAAGCTTCATATGCTTTCTGGGGCCTGAGATAATCGATATCGATATTAATGCCCCTTTACAGAGTGGAGCTTGTCTTTAAATTATAAAGGAATAAAAATGAACAAAGCAACAGAGAGAAATGACTTGCATGCTCTTCATTAGCGTAAAAAAATACTTCTCCCTGTTGTGATTACTGGGTTGCCACACAAATGCAGTCAGTGCGTGGATTGGCGGTGACAGTACAATTCAATTTTATGATTTATTTCAAGGAGGAGTTGTGTCCCAATGTGGAGTGCCAAAAATCAGACGGCTACAAATAAGTAGGGAGTTGGAATAGCTTGGGCATCTTGTATGACTTTCTCCTCCCACCCATCTGCAGCTCTGCAATGCTCAGGCACCAAAAAAAACCTTGAGTACCAAGTTTCTCTCACTCAGAGACACAAATGTGACTCATAGCTTTAATTAATACAAATGAGTGGCACGCATGAGATTAATTAGATATGACACTCGGATTGCTTAAGCCCTATATAAAAACAGATTATACTGAACATTYTGATATCCCGATTTTACAAAATGTCTGATGACATCAAGCCTTGGTGACATGCTATACATTCACTGCTTCCCGGTTCCTTAGAAAAGAAGGAACAAATGAAGTGAGAACAACACTGGAAAAATCTAATAGACAAACTGACTAATCTCAGACCCCAAGGTCACAGCAAAGCAATTCACTTCTTGGCTTTTCAACAGCACAAGACATGATTTATCAGTCTGAGGCCAGGCTTATAAACACTATACATCTCAATAATATGTTCTTTGCACTGCGTAACTTTTTAAACAATGATGGATTGCCTGGGCTGRACCAAAGTTATTTTACAAGCAGAAACGGAATATTTGCAAATGAAATGCCCCATTAGGGAAAAAAAWTATGCTGGAGAGCAGCTATAGTTAATTGCATCATCTAGGGAATCTAAATTTTTGATATAAAATATATCCTTTAAAATCTCCTCTTCATCATTTTACACAACTAATTTTGAAGACCATTAAAACAAAAATATTTCTCATGTGTAACGACAGCACAAACAAAATCTTATATCCCCCAAAGAAAAATATGATTTGAGCTGAAGGAGGACTGCGAATCAATAACTCCAGTCGCCCACTTGATCACAGACTTCCTTGAAGTCATTAAGGAGTTTGAGTCTTTGCTTCCCTCCTTGAAAACTGAAATAATATTTTCTTTCTCCTCCACCAAGAGTGCAATCTTTATAACACAAAGCCTTCAGGTAATCATCTGCTCATACTGTGGATTTAAGTCATAAAATTTTTCAAACTCTTTGGCCAGTATCTGGTACATTGACTCTGGCCTTGACTTTGAGTAGGCTCTCCAGACGCGTATCATCTCCCCTGTAATTATTTTGTCATCTGGATTTCCTAAAAACCCTTCCAAGGGGGAGTGTTGATCCCACCCTCTGTCCCAATGGAGAGGGGAGCAGGGAAGGGCTGCGTGGGCTGGAGCTGCTCTTGGGGTCTTGACTGAAAGAGCTCAGTTGGGTTCTTGAAAGCACAGAAGAGATGCTCAAGAATACAGATGAGCTCAAAGACAATGTATAAGAAATGAGTTGGAAAGTTCAAGATGCTTCATTTCCAGACCTCTGAATTTACCAGTCTAGGCAACCCGTCAATTTTCAGATAACAAATTCTCTTTCAGAGACCTGCCTCTTCCTTCATTCACTTATCATTGAGGCAATACAATGCAACCTCAGTTTGGATAGGGTTAATTCTTACATTGTAAGAAATCCCTAAAGATCAAAGCTACCTGTGACATAGCTGTATTCAGGTATTTCATTTCAAATAGCAATCATGGCTACATGCAGAACATAGTCTCAAAAAAAGTGAAGATAAAGAGATTTGTTATTATATTTCAATGTTGTTCCAAATGCTCCTGAAAATGTAATTATTTTAGGCTACTTTAAAAAATACTATGCATGAAAGAAGCTGCAAACACAACTCTGTGAAACTAACCCCAACTCTGCATTGCCTCAGGCCCTGCTAATACTGTATTAGGGCAGCTGATTMGCAACAAGGAATAAAGAAAAGAATCCAAGCACAGAACTGAGGCAGCAGAAAGGGTTTTAGCAGGAGACAGAAACAGCTACTCTTACATCTTAAAGCGAGGTTATATTCATGTCCTTAGGAGTGTGCAGAAGAGGAACTGCACCATCTCCAAAATGAAAAGCGGTGCTACTTCCAAAAAAGCCTGCTCAGAAAGTAGTAGTACCCTCGGTTTTAGTTTTCTTCCCTCCCTTTTTCATTTTCTCTTCTAGAATCCGAAGGGCGCTTCTCTCCGTGTGGCTCATTTCCACCGCCTGCGCCAGCTCCCTGCATCCAGGGTTTCACATCCCGAGGCAGCTCGGCGCCTCAGGCCCCTGGTATTTATAGACCTGATCCTGCAGCTTCCAGTACTGGGCGCCCTGCTGGGCTTAGGCTCGCTCGCTACAGGCCGGTCCTGAGCCTCGCTCACAGTTCATACCCTGGTGCCTTCCCAAGGGCACCCGTGTCCCAGCCCGTGTTTTGGGTGCTGTGGGTGACAGCAAACCAAGCAATACAAGTCCTGAGAACTCTGCGGCCTTGCAGGTGTTCCCACCTGCCTGTGCTTCTTTATTTCTTGTTGTTTTGGGGTTGGTTTTGTTTCTTGAGATGCTTTAGGGCTCTGCTCCGGGTCCAAGACAGGTCTGTGCAAAAGTGGGTGCTTGGCAGCTCCCTTGCTTGCAACTCTCCTCTCTTTTAGAGTATTTCTGTGCTCCCCGTGAGCTCGCTGCCCTGTGCTGCCCCTCGCTCCCCATGTGCATCACAGAGCAGGTTTGCAGAAGGCTGGTTAACCCCAAGACATTGCTGCTCACCCGGCCAAGCTCCAGCTGACAGTCATTTCAAAAGCTGCAGCACACCTGGAAACACGCAGCTCTGACCCCTTCTCAAGCAAACATTTACCCTGGTAATGTTTTACCTGCCCACAGAAGGCATCAGGTTCACCTTTGCTCCTACAGGTAATTTGTATTCCTAACCATTGATAAACAGTACAAATTGCACACCTGGAGCTG